AGGCGTGTCTGGGCTAGAGGTAGAAGGTTCTAGAAGGAGGCGTGTCTGGGCTAGAGGTAGAAGGTTCTAGAAGGAGGCGTGTCTGGGCTAGAGGTAGAAGGTTCTAGAAGGAGGCGTGGTCTGGGCTAGAGGTAGAAGGTTCTAGAAGGAGGCGTGTCTGGGCTAGAGGTAGAAGGTTCTAGAAGGAGGCGTGTCTGGGCTAGAGGTAGAAGGTTCTAGAAGGAGGCGTGTCTGGGCTAGAGGTAGAAGGTTCTAGAAGGAGGCGTGTCTGGGGCTAGAGGTAGAAGGTTCTAGAAGGAGGCGTGTCTGGGCTAGAGGTAGAAGGTTCTAGAAGGAGGCGTGTCTGGGCTAGAGGTAGAAGGTTCTAGAAGGAGGCGTGTCTGGGCTAGAGGTAGAAGGTTCTAGAAGGAGGCGTGTCTGGGCTAGAGGTAGAAGGTTCTAGAAGGAGGCGTGTCTGGGCTAGAGGTAGAAGGTTCTAGAAGGAGGCGTGTCTGGGCTAGAGGTAGAAGGTTCTAGAAGGAGGCGTGTCTGGGCTAGAGGTAGAAGGTTCTAGAAGGAGGCGTGTCTGGGCTAGAGGTAGAAGGTTCTAGAAGGAGGCGTGTCTGGGCTAGAGGTAGAAGGTTCTAGAAGGAGGCGTGTCTGGGCTAGAGGTCAGTCGAGAGGCGACGGGCCCCTTACCCTGCTGAGGAGACGCGGGTCCGGCGTGGAGCAGTTCCAGCGCTTGGCCCGGAACTGGTGCCGACACTCGGCCAGCGCCAGCCGGGCGCCCTCGGCCACGTGCGCCACGTGGTTCGGGCGCTGCAGGCAAATGTTGCGCTGCCGGGGGGACAGCCCCGGCGCCACGACGCACAGCAGCCGGTGCTCGGAGGGGTCGAAGTTTGGGGCCCACAGCGCCAGCGACCTGCGAGGGACGTGGGGGGGGGGGTCAGGGGTCACGGTGGCCAGGGGATGTTGACTACCTCGCCTGGTGCGCGGGAGGTCGTGGGTTCGATGCCGACACCTGCTGCTGTGTATTTGAAGCCATGCTGCTACGAGGCGTTGAACCAAAAACACAAACAAGCGCATGGGGCGTGCAAAATCTAGATAGAGAAGGCAAGAAGGTCGCTCAGGGAAATAAATGAACTTAGAAACTCGTGAGGCTCAACGCGGTTACCACCACGAGGGGCTGGCGACTGCCCACAGCTGTGCCAAGGTGCAGTGTCCCAGCAGCAGCAGCAGCAGCAGATGGCAGCAGCAGCGGCTCCTGGTGCTGCCTCGCAGGAGATCCATCGCAACCCTCGTGGCCGGCGTCGGCGCTGCGCAGAGGAGAAGCAAACCCGTGGTGACGGTGTCGATTTAAAGCTTTGGTGACTGCAGGGATTCATATTCTTGGCTCTTTCGGTAAAGTCATCACGTAGAAGGGAAATAATAAAATAATAAAAATATCAAACAATACAATTCTCACGACGTTTCGATTGCAACACAAGCAATCATCATCAGGTTGTGAAACCACAGCAAGAACATTTTAAAAAAGTGGCAATTTTTTCTTAACGTCAGCACCACGGACAGTGATTCTTTTACGAGCATAGATGGACTCAAATTTTGATTTAAAGCTTTCGTGAGAATTTTATTGTTTTATACTTTTATTATTTCCCTTCTACGTGACTTTACCGAAAGAAACAAGAATATGATGGTGACGATGTCAACTCCCTCGCCTGGTCGTGGGTTCGATCCCGACCCTGACGATGTCTTCTGCTGCTGCTGTATATTTGGCCGGGAACAGCAGCAACAATTCAAGTCGCTTGTTAAAAATGTTCTTGCTGTGGATGTCACACCTGATGACGATTGCTTGTGTTGCAGTCGAAACGTGGTGAGAATTGTATTGTTTTATATTTGTATTATTCTATTATTTCCCTTCTACGTGATGACTTTACCGAAAGAAGCAAGAATTAAAAATCTCCCTGTTAAAACTATTTAGGGCATAATCCCATCTGTGGTGGTAACTCAGAGCCAGGGCCTCAGAGTCGATATCCCACAATAGTGCGGCAGAGCCAAGCGCAAGTCGCCACGAATCAAGTCGAGCAATCAACACGTGAGAAGTCTTCTTGCGTTAACAAGCCGATTGTTATCGTCACTCCTATAACTGATCCCATATTAAGATCACAACCCAGGTAACAAAATCAATGCAAACTCTGAGGTTTTTTCGGTAAAGTCACGTAGGTCAAAAATTATGGAAATAAAATAATAATTAATGAAAATAAATTAATCACAAAAATTATAAAAATACAATAATAAATGAACATGAATCTAATTTTCATTTATTCTTATTTTATTTTTTATTATTTTAAAATAAATAAAATAATGATGCATGAAAATAAATCAAATTTTCATTTATTCTTATTTTTTTCATTATTTTAATACAAATAAAATAATGATGCATTAAAATAAATAAAATTTTCATTTATTCTATTTTATTTTCATTATTTTAATAAAAAAAATAATGCATTAAACTAAATAAAATTTTCATTTATTCTTATTTTATTTTCATTATTTTAATAAAAATAAAATAATAAAGCATTAAACTAAATACAATTTTCATTTATTATTTTATTTTCATTATTTTAATAAAAATAAAATAATAATGCATTAAACTAAATCAAATTTTCATTTATTCTTATTTTATTTTCATTATTTTAATACAAATAAAATAATAATGCATTAAACTAAATCAAATTTTCATTTATTCTTATTTTATTTTCATTATTTTAATACTAATAAAATAATAAAGCATTAAACTAAATAAAATTTTTATTTATTCTTATTTAATTTTCATTATTTTAATAAAAATAAAATAATAATGCATTAAACTAAATAAAATTTTCATTTATTCTTATTTAATTTTCATTATTTTAATAAAAAATAAAATAATAATGCATTAAACTAAATAAAATTTTCATTTATTCTTATTTTATTTTCATTATTTTAATACAAATAAAATAATAAAGCATTAAACTAAATAAAATTTTCATTTATTCTTATTTAATTTTCATTATTTTAATAAAAATTAAATAATAATGCATTAAACTAAATCAAATTTTCATTTAATCTTATTTTATTTTCATTATTTTAATAAAAATAAAATAATAATGCATTAAACTAAATCAAATTTTCATTTCTTATTTAATTTTCATTATTTTAATAAAAATTAAATAATAATGCATTAAACTAAATCAAATTTTCATTTAATCTTATTTTATTTTCATTATTTTAATAAGAATAAAATAAGAATGCATTAAACTAAATCAAATTTTCATTTATTCTTATTTTATTTTCATTATTTAATACAAATAAAATAATAATGCATTAAACTAAATCAAATTTCATTTATTCTTATTTTATTTTCATTATTTTAATAAAAAATAAAATAATAATGCATTAAACTAAATCAAATTTTCATTTATTCTTATTTTATTTTCATTATTTGAATACAAATAAAATAATAAAGCATTAAACTAAATAACATTTTCATTTATTCTTATTTAATTTTCATTATTTTAATAAAAATTAAATAATAATGCATTAAACTAAATCAAATTTTCATTTAATCTTATTTTATTTTCATTATTTTAATAAAAAATAAAATAATAATGCATTAAACTAAATAAAATTTTCATTTATTCTTATTTAATTTTCATTATTTTAATAAAAATTAAATAATAATGCATTAAACTAAATCAAATTTTCATTTAATCTTATTTTATTTTCATTATTTTAATAAAAATAAAATAATAATGCATTAAACTAAATCAAATTTTCCTTTATTCTTATTTAATTTTCATTATTTTAATAAAAATTAAATAATAATGCATTAAACTAAATCAAATTTTCATTTAATCTTATTTTATTTTCATTATTTTAATAAAAATAAAATAATAATGCATTAAACTAAATCAAATTTTCATTTATTCTTATTTTATTTTCATTATTTTAATACAAATAAAATAATAATGCATTAAACTAAATCAAATTTTCATTTAATCTTATTTTATTTTCATTATTTTAATAAAAATAAAATAATAATGCATTAAACTAAATCAAATTTTCATTTATTCTTATTTTATTTTCATTATTTTAATACAAATAAAATAATAATGCATTAAACTAAATCAATTTTTCATTTATTCTTATTTTATTTTCATTATTTTAATACAAATAAAATAATAACAATGGACGATGCTAAACCACGAGGGCGCGAGGCGTCGTCGCGACTTGAACCCCGGGAGAGGCAGAACGCGTTCACAACAACAACAACTAAAAACAACGCACCTCTCTTCGCAAAAAAGCACGACGGTTTTCACAAGAAGGATAAAAACTGAAAATACCGAAAGGAGAAGGAGGAGGAAGAAGAAGAAGGCAAAAAAGAAACTTAAATAATAATAATTTGGTGCGTTTCGAAGTTTAACGCGGACATTTAAAGCGCCAGTCTCTTCCGGCGACGTCAATAGTGGTGACGTCACCGCCACGGCGGCTTCCCATTGGCTGAGGCCATTGCCTCCGCTGCATAAATTATGTTAATTAGCGGTGACGGTTGCAGCCTGACGTCACGCGCCCATAAATTATGTTAATTATGAGAGACGTTTACAAGAGGTGACGTCATCACTTCGTTACCCTATTACAATACGGGGCACAACAAACCCATTATATTTCGATTTAAAGCTTTCGTGACTGCAGCAGGGATTCATCTTCTTGGTTCTTTTGGTAAAGTCACGTAGAAGGGAAGTAATAAAATAATAAAAATAATTATTATTTTAATAAAATAATAAAAATATTTATTATTTTATTACTTCCCTTCTACGTGACTTTACCGAAAGAACCAAGAAGATAAACCCATTAGAACCAAAGTATTATAACTGTGGGGGGTGAGAAACCATGGAGACGGGAGTTAAAATGCTGCCAAAGGATGTCACAGACGCCTTAGAGACGAGAATCGTTACCTCAGTTTGTAGCTCGCGAGGGGCGATCCAAACGCGATTCCGCAGTTTCGATTCGATTCAATCGATTCTCTCCATTCTGAGAAGCCAACAACAAACGATTCATAGAATCGATCATCGATTCCCACCGCCCTCTGTTGAACAGCGGCTGAATCGTATCGAGCTATAATTAGGAATCGAATCGGCTATGACGTTTCCTGCGCGGCTGAGCCAATAGGAGCGCACGATGCTCGGGGGCACCGTCCAATCAGAGGAGGCGATGGTTGGAGGTTGCTGGGTGCCACGTGGACCAATCACGTGGCGCGCTCTTGAGTGAGGAATTCTTCATCAGCAGCAGCATCAGCAGCATGCAGAACCATCATAATAATCAGCAACATAATAATCATCAGCAGCAAAATCAGCAGCAGCAGCAACATCATCAGCTGGTGCAATTTCATCAGCAGCAGATGCAGCAATTTAATCAGCAGCAACATCATCAGCTGGTGCAATTTCATCAGCAGCAGATGCAGCAAGTTAATCAGCAGCAGCACCATCATCATCAGGAGCAAAATAATCATCAGCAGCAAAATAATCATCAGCAGCAAAATCATCAGCAGCAGCAAAATAATCATCAGCAGCATAATCATCATCAGCAGCAAAATAATCATCAGCATCATCATAATTAGAATCACCATTATTAGCAGGAACATCATCAGCATCATCATCATCATCAGAAGCACCATCAGCAGAAGCACCATCATCATTGGCATGCATAACCATTAATCAGCAGCAACAACATCGTAATCAGTAGCAGCAACATCATCATCAGCAGCAAAATCATCAGCAGCAACATCATTAGCTGGTGCAGTATCATCATCATCAGCTGGTGCAGTATCATCATCAGCTGGTGCAGTATCATCATCATCAGCTGGTGCAATATCATCAGCAACATCATCAGCTGGTGCAGTATCATCATCATCAGCTGGTGCAATATCATCAGCAGCAACATCATCAGCTGGTACAATATCATCAGCTGGTACAATATGATCAGCTGGAGCAATATCAGCAGCAGCAAAATAATCAGCAGCAGCATCAGCAGCACCATCAGCATCATCAGCAGCAGAAGCAGCAGAAGCATCAGCAGCAGCAGAAGCATCATCAGCAGCACCGCTTCTTCTGGCTCTGCTATGCGCCTCGACTGGCACTCGGCTAATGCCAGGTGAGTTGGGGGGGCACGTGGTTGTGGTGGTGGGGGGCACGGTGGTTGTGGTGGGGGGGGGCATGGTGGTTGTGGTGGTGGGGGGCACGGTGGTTGTAGTGGGGGGGGGCACGTGGTTGTGGTGGTGGGGGGCACGGTGGTTGTGGTGGGGGGGGGGGCACGGTGGTTGTGGTGGGGGGGGGGGGCACGGTGGTTGTGGTGGTGGGGGGCACGGTGGTCGTGGTGGGGGGGGCACGTGGTTGTGGTGGGGGGGGGGGGCACGGTGGTTGTTGTGGTGGGGGGGGCACGGTGGTTGTGGTGGGGGGGGCACGGTGGTTGTGGTGGTGGGGGGCACGGTGGTTGTTGTTGTGGGGGGGGGCACGGTTGTTGTTGTGGGGGGGCACGGTGGTTGTTGTTGTGGGCGGGGCACGGTGGTTGTGGTGGGGGGGGCACGGTGGTTGTGGTGGGGGGGGGGCACGGTGGTTGTGGTGGTGGGGGGGGCACGGTGGTTGTGGTGGGGGGGGCACGGTGGTTGTGGTGGGGGGGGGCACGGTGATTGTGGTGGGGGGGGGCACGTGGTTGTTGTGGTGGGGGGGGCACGGTGATTGTGGTGGGGGGGGGGGTGCACGGTGGTTGTGGTGGGGGGGGGCACGGTGGTTGTGGTGGGGGGGGCACGGTGGTTGTGGTGGGGGGGGGGGCACGGTGGTTGTGGTGGTGGGGGGGGCACGGTGGTTGTGGTGGTGGGGGGTGCACGGTGATTGTGGTGGGGGGGGGTGCACGGTGGTTGTGGTGGGGGGGGGCACGGTGGTTGTGGTGGTGGGGGGCACGGTGGTTGTGGTGGGGGGGGGCACGGTGGTTGTGGTGGGGGGGGGCACGTGGTTGTGGTGGGGGGGGGCACGGTGGTTGTTGTGGTGGGGGGGCACGGTTGTTGTTGTGGGGGGGGCACGGTGGTTGTGGTGGTGGGGGGCACGGTGGTTGTGGTGGTGGGGGGGGCACGTGGTGGTGGGGGGCACGGTGGTTGTTGTTGTGGGGGGGGCACGGTTGTTGTTGTGGGGGGGGGCACGGTGGTTGTGGTGGGGGGGGGGCACGGTGGTTGTGGTGGTGGGGGGGGGCACGGTGGTTGTGGTGGTGGGGGGGTGCACGGTGATTGTGGTGGGGGGGGGCACGGTGGTTGTGGTGGTGGGGGGGGGCACGGTGGTTGTGGTGGTGGGGGGGGGCACGGTGGTTGTGGTGGTGGGGGGGTGTTGATGGTGGGTGGTGATGGTGGTGATAATGTCGGTGATGATGATGATAATGGTGGAGGTGATGATGATGGTGATGACGGCGATGATGGTGGTGATGATGGTGAAGGTGATGGTGGTGATGATGGTGGTGATGGTGGCGAAGTTGATGATGGTGGTGATGATGGTGAAGGTGATGGTGGCGATGTTGATGATTGCGATGATGTCGGTGATGTCGTTGATGATGTTGATGATGGTGGTGGTGATGGTGGAGGTGATGGTGGAGGTGGTGATGGTGGTGGTGATGATGATGGTGGTGGTGATGATGGTGGAGGTGGTGATGGTGGAGGTGATGGTGGTGGTGATGGTGGAGGTGATGGTGGTGGTGATGGTGGAGGTGATGGTGGTGGTGATGATGGTGGTGGTGGAGGTGATGGAGGTGGTGATGGTGGAGGTGATGGTGGTGGTGATGGTGGAGGTGATGATGGTGAAGGTGTGATGGTGGAGATGGTGGATGTGGTGATGGTGGAGGAGGTGATGGTGGGGATGGTGGTGGTGGTGATGGTGGAGGTGATGATGGTGGAGGTGATGATGGTGGTGATGGTGGAGGTGATGATGGTGGAGGTGATGGTGGAGGTGATGGTGGTGGTGATGGAGGTGGTGATGGTGGAGGTGATGGTGGTGGTGATGGTGGAGGTGATGATGGTGAAGGTGGTGATGGTGGAGGTGGTGATGGTGGATGTGGTGATGGTGGAGGAGGTGATGGTGGCGATGTTGTTGATGTTGTCGAGTTCTCGCTGCTGAGCCAACAGGCCGAGTTCTAAACCTGCTGCACATGGAACGAACCAAATGGCATCGGGAGGGGGGGGAGAGGTGGGGGTATGAGCCCCCCCAACCACCACCACCCCCATCACCACACCCACCACCACCATCACTCCCATTGGCTGTGCTACCGAGATGAGTGACGTCACCTCCCAAGCCCCGCCCCCTCCACCCCGGTAGCCTCACTCCCATTGGCTGTGCTACCGAGATGAGTGACGTCACCCCCCAAGCCCCGCCCCCTCCACCCCGGTAGCCTCACTCCCATTGGCTGTGCTACCGAGATGAGTGACGTCACCCCCAAGCCCCGCCCCCTCCACCCCGGTAGCCTCACTCCCATTGGCTGTGCTACCGAGATGAGTGACGTCACCCCCCAAGCCCCGCCCCCTCCACCCCGGTAGCCTCACTCCCATTGGCTGTGCTACCGAGATGAGTGACGTCACCCCCCAAGCCCCGCCCCTGTGAGTGGGGGCAGGAAACCCCGCGCGTGGCTTGCGGCACGCGGTGAGGAGAATTTTGCTGTTTTTAAATCCTTTATATTAAGTGCACTTGCTTGCTTATGACCGTGCAAATCTTTCGGTCGTTTTTTAACCCACTTCCCGTGATCCAATCGAGCTGACATTTTCCACACAGACTCGTTGTGCCAGACAATTAATGTTCGTGAAAAAAAATTCCCAAAATTTTACACTTTTTAGGCAAAAAAAATTATTTTACATTTATTCAAATATAACTCATTCATCGCTTTGGCTGAACGTCACAGTATAAGAGCCCAGAGCGTAACCCCTCCACAGGCCGTGGCGGAGTAGCGCAGTTGGTAGCGCCCTCGCTTCGCATGCCAAAGGTCGCGGGATCGATCCCCGCGTCCTCCACAGGCGAATATATTTTTAAATCCTTTATATTAAGTTCGCTTGCTTGCTTAGGACCGTGCAAATCTTTCGCTCGTTTTTTAACCCACTTCCCGTGATCCAATCGAGCTGACATTTTCCACAGACTCGTTGTGTGTGACAATTAATTTTTGTGAAAAAAAAAAATCCAAAATTTTACACTGTTTAGGGAAACCAAATTAAATATTTAATTACCAATTGCTTAATACTGGCAGACAATCATCTGACCCATAGGTGGCAGCCATCTCAAGCCAGAGGACGAGAGGACTCCAGCCGCCACGCATATAAAGGATTTAGAGTGAAAAACGTTGTTTTTACGGGTTTACTTGTTTTACTTTTCCTCACAAAATAAAAGATATAAAAGTTTAAGCAACAATAATAACGACGACGACGGGAGCGATTGCGTTGTGCTTATTTTGGTGGGAGAGATAATCGGATCGACTCCGTCGCGACAGCAATGGTAAGGCAAACAACATATTAACGTTGAACTATTTATGTTAAAGCCACGGAGATAGAAAAGTAACATGACGATTGCTTGTGTTGCGATCGAAACGTGATATTTTTATTATTTTTTATATATACACGTGGCTTTACCGAAAGACCCAAAGAATTTGAATTCCTGCAGTTGCGAAAGTCAAAACAACATTTAATTTATAAAGTAAAAAAACGTACTTATTTGCGTGTTTATTCAATGGCGTTTAAACTGCTAAGCCACACACCCACCCACCCCACCCACTCACCCACCTACCCACTCACCCACTCACCCACCCACTCACTCACCTACCCACCCACTCACCCACCTATCCACCCACTCACCCACCCAATCTCCTATCTACCCATCCACCTACTCACCCACCCACTCACCTATCCACTCACCCACCTACCCACTCACACACCCACCCACCTACCCATTCACCCACCTAGCCACCCACTCACCCACCTACCCACCTATCCACTCACCCACCTTCCCAGCCACTCACCCACTCACCCACTCACTCACCTACCCACCCACTCACCCACCTTCCCACCCACTCACCCACCTACCCACTCACTCACCCACTCACCCACTCACTCACCTACCCACCCACTCACCCACGCACTCACCTACCCACCCACTCACCCACCTAGCCACCCACTCACCCATCTACCCACCCACCTACCCACCCACTATCCACACACCCACCTACCCACCCACTCACCCACCCACCTACTCACCCACTCACTCACCCACCCACTCACCCACCCACCTATCCACTCACCCACCTTCCCAGCTACTCACCCACTCACCCACTCACTCACCTACCCACCCACTCACCCACCTTCCCACCCACTCACCCACCTACCCACTCACTCACCCACTCACTCACCTACCCACCCACTCACCCACTCACCCACGCACTCACCTACCCACCCACTCACGCACCTAGCCACCCACTCACCCATCTACCCACCCACCTACCCACCCACTAACACACCCACCTACCCACCCACTAACACACCCACCTACCCACCCACTAACACACCCACCCACCCACCCACCCACCTATCCACTCACCCACCTTCCCAGCCACTCACCCACTCACTCACCTACCCACCCACTCACCCACCTTCCCACCCACTCACCCACCCACCTACCCACTCACTCACCCACTCACCTACCCACCCACTCACCCACGCACTCACCTACCCACCCACTCACGCACCTAGCCACCCACTCACCTATCCACCCACCCAACCACCCACCCAATCTATCCACACACCCACCTACCCACCCACTCACCCACCCACCTACTCACCCACTCACTCACCCACCCACTCGCCCGCCCACCTATCCACTCACCCACCTACCCACCCACTCACCTACCCACCCACTCACCTACCCACTCACCCACCTACCCACCCACCTACCCACCCACCTACCCACCCACCTATCCACTCACCTACCCACCCACTCACCCACCCACTCACCCATCTACCCACCCACCTACCCACCCAATCTATCCACCCATCCACCTACCCACCCACTCACCCACCCACTTACTCACCCACTCACTCACCTACCCACTCACCCACCCACTCACCCACCCACTCACCTATCCACTCACCTATCCACTCACCCATCTACCCACCCACTCACCCACGCACTCACCCACGCACTCACCTACTCACCCACTCACGCACCTAGCCACCCACTCACCCACCTACCCACTCACCCACTCACTCACCCACTCGCTCACCTACCCACCCACGCACTCACCTACCCACCCACTCACCCACCTAGCCACCCACTCACCCATCTACCCACCCACCTACCCACCCAATCCACGCACCCACCTACCCACTCACTCACCCACTCACCCACCTACCCACCCACCCATCCACCCACCTATCCACTCACCCACCTACCCACCCACTCACCTACCCACCTACCCACCCACCTATCCACTCACCTACCTACCCACCCACTCACCCACCCACTCACCCATCTACCCACCCACTCACCCATCTACCCACCCACCTACCCATCTACCCATCTACCCACCTACCCACCCACCCACCTACCCACCCACCTACCCATCTACCCACCCACCCACCTACCCACTCACCCACCTACCCATCTACCCACCCACCTACCCACCCACTCACAGTTGAATCAACACGACCACCACGTGACCTCCCACCCCACCGCCACTCCCCTCAGGAGGTGAGGCAGCGTGATCACGTGCTGCAGAACCGGTACGAGGGGCGGGGCTGGGGGGGGAGGGGAGGGGCTGGGGGGTGAGGGGAGGGGCTGAGGGGAGGGGCTGGGGGTGAGGGGAGGGGCTTGGGGTGAGGGGCTGGGGGTGAGGGGAGGGGCTGGGGGTGAGGGGAGGGGCTTGGGGTGAGGGGAGGGGCTGGGGGTGAGGGGAGGGGCTTGGGGTGAGGGGCTGGGGGTGAGGGGAGGGGCTGGGGGTGAGGGGAGGGGCTTGGGGTGAGGGGAGGGGCTGGGGGTGAGGGGAGGGGCTGGGGGTGAGGGGAGGGGCTTGGCGTGAGGGGAGGGGGTGAGGGAGGAGGGTGAGGGGAGGGGCTGGGGGTGAGGGGAGGGGCTTGGGGTGAGGGGAGGGGCTGGGGGTGAGGGAGGGGCTTGGGGTGAGGGGCTGGGGGTGAGGGGAGGGGCTGGGGGTGAGGGGAGGGGCTTGGGGTGAGGGGAGGGGCTTGGCGTGAGGGGAGGGGCTGGGGGTGAGGGAGGGGCTTGGGGTGAGGGGCTGGGGTGAGGGGAGGGGCTGGGGGGGAGGGGAGGGGCTGGGGGTGAGGGGAGGGGCTGGGGGTGAGGGGAGGGGCTGGGGTGAGGGGAGGGGCTTGGCGTGAGGGGAGGGGGTGAGGGAGGAGGGTGAGGGGAGGGGCTGGGGGTGAGGGAAGGGGCTGGGGGTGAGGGGCGGGGCTGGGGGTGAGGGGAGGGGCTGGGGGTGAGGGGCGGGGCTGGGGGTGAGGGGAGGGGCTGGGGTGGAATAAGGAGAGGGGCTGAGGGGGAGGGGCTGGCGAAATAATCGATTCGTGTGTCGTGAATTGTTAAAAGGGGAATCTCTCCCTCACCACCCACCACCTCACCCTCCTCACCACCTCACCCTCCCTCACCACCTCACCCTCCCTCACCACCTCACCCTCCCTCACCACCTCACCCTCCCTCACCACCTCACCCTCCCTCACCACCTCACCCTCCCTCACCACCTCACCACCTCACCCTCCCTCACCACCTCACCCTCCCTCACCACCTCACCATCTCCCTCACCACCTCACCACCTCACCACCTCACCCTCCCTCACCACCTCACCCTCCCTCACCACCTCACCCTCCCTCACCACCTCACCCTCCCTCACCACCTCACCCTCCCTCACCACCTCACCCTCCCTCACCACCTCACCCTCCCTCACCACCTCACCCTCCCTCACCACCTCACCCTCCCTCACCACCTCACCCTCCCTCACCACCTCACCCTCCCTCACCACCTCACCCTCCCTCACCACCTCACCCTCCCTCACCACCTCACCCTCCCTCACCACCTCACCCTCCCTCACCACCTCACCCTCCCTCACCACCTCACCCTCCCTCACCACCTCACCCTCCCTCACCACCTCACCACCTCACCCTCCCTCACCACCTCACCCTCCCTCACCACCTCACCCTCCCTCACCACCTCACCCTCCCTCACCACCTCACCATCTCCCTCACCACCTCACCACCTCACCACCTCACCACCTCACCATCTCCCTCACCACCTCACCCTCCCTCACCACCTCACCCTCCCTCACCACCTCACCCTCCCTCACCACCTCACCCTCCCTCACCACCTCACCCTCCCTCACCACCTCACCACCTCACCCTCCCTCACCACCTCACCCTCACCACCTCACCTTCCCTCACCACCTCACCCTCACCACCTCACCCTCCCTCACCACCTCACCCTCCCTCACCACCTCACCCTCCCTCACCACCTCACCACCTCACCCTCCCTCACCACCTCACCACCTCACCCTCCCTCACCACCTCACCCTCACCACCTCACCCTCCCTCACCACCTCACCCTCACCACCTCACCCTCCCTCACCACCTCACCACATCTTTCTCTCCCTCACCACCACTAAGATGGACTCTGTGGTTCATGAAGAATGGAAATTATTGCCCATGGCACCTCAACCTGAGACCCGTCATCAGCTTCAACTCCGTGGAGATGTTCTGGAGGTGATATGGGGTGGTGATGGGGGGATGGAGTGAGTGTCTGGTTGAGTGAGTGAGTGGCTGGGTGAGTGAGTAGCTGGCTGGTCGAGTGAGTGGCTGGCTGGTCGAGTGAGTGAGTGGCTGGGTGAGTGAGTGAGTGAGTGGCTGGGTGAGTGAGTGGCTGGGTGAGTGAGTGGCTGAGTGAGTGAGTGGCTGGCTGAGTGAGTGAGTGGCTGGCTAAGTGAGTGAGTGGCTGGGTGAGTGAGTGAGTGAGTGGCTGGCTAAGTGAGTGAGTGGCTGGGTGAGTGAGTGTGTGTGTGAATGGCTGAGTGAGTGGCTGGGTGGGTGAGTGGCTGGGTGAGTGAGTGGCTGAGTGGCTGAGTGATTAAGTGGCTGGGTGAGTGAGTGGCTGAGTGAGTGAGTGGCTGGCTGAGTGAGTGAGTGGGTGAGTGAGTGGCTGGCTAAGTGTATGAGTGGCTGGGTGAGTGAGTGTGTGAATGGCTGAGTGAGTGGCTGGGTGGGTGAGTGGGTGAGTGGCTGAGTGATTAAGTGGCTGGGTGAATGAGTGGCTGAGTGAGTGAGTGGCTGGCTGAGTGAGTGTGTGAATGGCTGAGTGAGTGTCTGGGTGGGTGAGTGGCTGGGTGAGTGAGTGGCTGGCTGAGTGAGTGAGTGGGTGCGTGATTGAGTGGCTGGCTGAGTGAGTGAGTGGGTGCGTGATTGAGTGGCTGGCTGAGTGAGTCTCTCTCTCCCCCCGTAGTCTCTACGACCACATCCAGCCAGCCAGCCGACTCATAGATGGCCCTGACTACGCAGTGTTCAAGGTGACTCAGTCAATCACTCATTCAGTCACCGCTCGACTCAACCACCCACTCATTCACCCACTCACTCATCCACCCACCAACCTATCTACTCACTCACCCCCCCAGTCAGTCACTTTCCCACTCACCCACCCACCCAATCAACCACTCAACCACCCAAGCACTCAACCACCCATTCACTCACTCACCCACCCACTAACTCACTCACTAACCTACTCACTCACCCACCCACCCACTCGTCCACCCACCCACTCACTCACCCACTCACTAACTCACTAACCTACTCGCCCACCCACTCAATCACCCACCCACTCACCCACTCACTCACCCACTAACTCACTCACTCACCCACCCACTCACCCACTCACCCACTCACTCACCCACTCACTCACCCACTCACTCACCCACTCACCCACCCACTAACTCACTAACCTACTCACTCACCCACCCACTCACCCACCCACTCACCCATCCACTCACCCACCCACTCACTCACCCACCCACTCACCCGCTGTGTCGTCTAGGAGGGGGTGACTCCAATGTGGGAAGACCCTGCGAACCTAGTTGGTGGACGATGGTTGATTTTTCTCACAAAGCAGCAGCGCGACCTGGACCTGGATGTCCTGTGCCTGGAGACGGTGAGGAGTAGTGGTGGTGGTGAGCAGACGCTCACCCGGCCACTCACTCAGCCAGCCACTCACTCACTCACCCACTCAGCCACTCACTCGCCCACTCACCCACTCAGCCACTCATTCACTCAACCACTCACTCACCCACTCAGCCACCCACTCACTCAGCCACCTAGTCACTCAGCCACTCACTCGCCCACTCAGCCACCCACTCACTCCGCCACCCACTCACTCAGCCACCCACTCACTCACTCAGCCACCCACTTACTCAGCCACCCACTCACTCACCCACTTAGCCACTCAGCTACTCATTCACTCAGCCACTCACCCACTCAGCCACCCACTCACTCAGCCACCCAGTCACTCAGCCACTCACTCGCACACATAGCCACCCACTCACTCAGCCACCCACTCACTCAGCCACCCAGGCACTCAGCCACTCGCTCACCCGGCCACTCGCTCACTCACACTCTCATCCGGTCACTCACCCACTCAGCCACTCACCAAGCCACTCGCTTACTCAGCCCGCCACTCACCCACTCAGCCATTCGCTAACCCACTCTTCCACTCGCTTACTCAGCCACTCAGCCACTCGCTCACTTAGCCACCCGCTAACTCAGTCACCCGTTAACTCAACCACCCACTCGCTCACCCACCCACTCACTCGCCCACCCACTCACCCACCCATTCACACACCCACTCACCCACTCACTCGCAGACCCACTCACCCACCCATTCACACACCCACTCACCCACCCACTTACTCGCCCACCCACTCACCCACCCATTCACACACCCACTCACCCACCCACTCACTCGCCCACCCACTCACCCACCCATTCACACACCCACTCACCCACCCACTCACTCGCCCACCCACTCACCCACCCATTCACACACCCACTCACCCACTCACTCACCCACCCACCACAGCTGCTGATGCTGGTTGGTGAGGCGTTCACCCCGTACGGCGAGGAGGTGTGTGGTGCCGTGGTGAGCGTGAGAGGCAAGGAAGACCGCATCGCCCTGTGGACCTCCAACGCTGACAGCAGCCAGGCCGTCATCACCATTGGGTGAGCGAGACGCTCACCTACTCACCCACCTACTCGCCCACCTCAGCCACCTACTCACTCACCCACTCACTCACCAACTAACCCACCTACTCACCCACCTACTCACCCACTTACTCACCCACCTACTCAGCCACCTACTAACCCACTCACTCGCCAACTCACCTACTTACTCACCCACTCACTCAGCCACTCACTCAGCCACTCACTCATCTACTCACTTACCCACTCACTCAGCCACTCACTCACTCACCCACTCACTCAGCCACTCACTCAATCACTCAGCCACTCACTCATCTATTCACTTACTCAGCCACTCACTCACCCACTTACTCAGTCACTCACTCGCCCAGCCACTCATTCAGCCACTCACCCACTCACTCATCCACTCACTCAGCCACTCACTCACTCAGCCACTCACTCAGCCACTCACTTTCTCACTCAGCCACTCACTCACTCACCCACTTACTCAGTCACTCACTCGCCCATACACTCATTCAGCCACACACCCACTCACTCATCCACTCACTCAGCCACTCACTCACTCAGCCACTCACTCAGCCACTCACTCAGCCACTCATCGACCTACTCACCCACCTTCTCACCCACCCACCCACCCATGCTAATGACGATGCTGCTTGTGTCTTTGTCTCATCTCTCTGGCCGTGTCTCTCTGACCGTGTCTTTGTGTCTCTTTGACGGTGTCTGTCTGTCTGTCTATCTGTCTGCGTCTCTCTATCTGTCTGTGTCTGTGTCTCTGTCTGTGTCTCTCTCTATCTGTCTGCATCTCTGTCTCTGTCTGTGTCTGTATCTCTGTCTGTGTCTCTGTCTGTGTCTCACTCACTGTGTGTCTCTGTCTGTGTCTCTGTGTCTCTCTCTATCTGTCTGCGTCTCTCTATCTGTCTCTGTCTGTGTCTGTGTCTCTGTCTGTGTCTCACTGTGTGTCTCTGTCTATCTAGGGGTATGTACAAGCGCAGGCTGGGCTTGCCTGCCCACACGCTCATCGCTTACCAGGCGCACGGAGGCAGCATGGCGAAGAGCGGACAGCCCTGGGCGGACAGGGAGAGAGCAGGGGGCGGAGAGACAGCGGCACCAGCTGGAGGAGACACGGGGTGGTGAGACACGGGGAGGGAGAGAGACACAGAGAGAGACACAGAGAGAGACACAGAGAGAGACACAGAGAGAGAGACACGGAGAGAGACACAGAGAGAGACACAGAGAGACACAGAGAGACACAGAGAGAGAGACACACGCAGAGAGAGACACACGCAGAGAGAGACACAGAGAGAGACAGAGAGAGACACAGAGAGAGAGGGACACGGGGAGAGAGAGACAGAGAGAGACATAGTGAGAGACACACAGAGAGAGAGAGAGACACGGGGAGAGAGGGACAGGGGGAGAGAGACACTGGGAGTGAGACACAGAGAGACACACGGGGAGAGAGACACACGGGGAGAGAGACACACGGGGAGAGAGACACAGAGAGAGAGACACGAGGAGAGAGGGACACGGGGAGAGAGACACGGGGAGAGAGAGACACAGAGAGAGAGACACAGAGAGAGACACAGAGAGAGAGGGACACGGGGAGAGAGACACGGGGAGAGAGAGACATGGAGAGAGACACGGGGAGAGAGACACGGGGAGAGAGAGATGGGCAGTGCTGAGTCTATGGTGCAGTGTTGAGTCTATGTACAGTGTTGAGTCTATGGGCAGTGTTAGTCTATGTACAGTGTTGAGTCTATGTACAGTGTTGAGTCTATGGACAGTGTTGAGTCTATGTACAGTGTTGAGTCTATGGTGCAGTGTTGAGTCTATGGTGCAGTGTTGAGTCTATGGTGCAGTGTTGAGTATATGGTGCAGTGTTGAGTCTATGGTGCAGTGTTGAGTCTATGGTGCAGTGTTGAGTCTATGTACAGTGTTGAGTCTATGGTGCAGTGTTGAGTCTATGTACAGTGTTGAGTCTATGTACAGTGTTGAGTCTATGTACAGTGTTGAGTCTATGGTGCAGTGTTGAGTCTATGGTGCAGTGTTGAGTCTATGTACAGTGTTGAGTCTATGTACAGTGTTGAGTCTATGTACAGTGTTGAGTCTATGGTGCAGTGTTGAGTCTATGTACAGTGTTGAGTCTATGGTGCAGTGTTGAGTCTATGTACAGTGTTGAGTCTATGTACAGTGTTGAGTCTATGTACAGTGTTGAGTCTATGTACAGTGTTGAGTCTATGGTGCAGTGTTGAGTCTATGTACAGTGTTGAGTCTATGTACAGTGTTGAGTCTATGGTGCAGTGTTGAGTCTATGTACAGTGTTGAGTCTATGTACAGTGTTGAGTCTATTACAGTGTTGAGTCTATGTACAGTGTTGAGTCTATGTACAGTGTTGAGTCTATGTACAGTGTTGAGTCTATGTACAGTGTTGAGTCTATGTACAGTGTTGAGTCTATGGGGCAGTGTTAGTCTATGGACAGTGTTGCATCTGTAATAAAGCTCGTTGAGGCGACTTCTGGAATCCGTCTTTTATTCAACTTGCGTCACAGTTCCCTTCACGCTGCTGACAGGCAGCAGCTTGAGAGGGACAGAGAGAGAGAGACTCACCGCCACGTGGCAACCCGGAGCCCCGCTCCCGCGTGGCCCCTTCCTCCGTTCGTTCCCGTTCTGACCACGTGTCGTTAGTCTCCACCCCTATTTAATACCCGGGTCACATGGTACGTTTCCACCAATCCTGGTTAGCCTCCATGGAATCTTCCAGGCTCCCTCGTCAGCCCCCGGGACCACGCCCCTGACTCGTCTCCCCATTGGCTGTGGCCAAAACCAGCAGAACCAATCATCTCCTTACAGCTGTCACCTTGCCATCACGTCAGGGCCACGTCCCCAGGCTTCCCTCCATTGGCTGTAGACCAGGGACCGGCAGAGCCAATCACCGTGACGAGTTGTGATACGTCAGTGAGCCGGATATGTCCTCATATCACAGGTGTGTGGAGGTGTGTGGGGGTGTGTGGGGGTGTGTGGACGTGCGTGGACGTGCGTGGACGTGCGTGGAGGTGCGTGGACGTGCGTGGAGGTGCGTGGACGTGCGTGGGGGTGCGTGGGGGTGCGTGGGGGTGCGTGGAGGTGCGTGGGGGTGCGTGGAGGTGCGTGGGGGTGCGTGGAGGTGCGTGGGGGTGCGTGGGGGTGCGTGGGGGTGCGTGGGGGTGCGTGGGGGTGCGTGAAGGTGCGTGGGGGCGCGTGGAGGCGCGTGGGGGCGCGTGGGGGCGCGTGGGGGCGCGTGGGGGCGCGTGGGGGCGCGTGGGGGCGCGTGGGGGCGCGTGGGGGCGCGTGGGGGCGCGTGGGGGCGCGTGGGGGCGCGTGGGGGCGCGTGGGGGCGCGTGGGGGCGCGTGGAGGCGCGTGGGGGCGCGTGGGGGCGCGTGGGGGCGCGTGGGGGCGCGTGGGGGTGCGGGGGGGTGCGTGGGGGTGTGTGGAGGTGTGTGGGGGTGTGTGGGGGTGTGTGGGGGTGTGTGGGGGTGTGTGGGGGTGTGTGGGGGTGTGTGGGGGTGTGTGGAGGTTTCTGGAGGTGTGTGGGGGTGTGTGGAGGTGTGTGGGTGTGTGTGGGGGTGTGTGGGGGTGTGTGGGGGTGTGGAGGTGCGTGGAGGTGCGTGGAGGTGCGTGGAGGTGCGTGGAGGTGCGGGCTCTCTGATTGTTTTGTTTACACAAAACGCAATTGTCGCGGGGTCCATGCGGGAGAATACGGTGACCAAGCGTTCTGTGTGATGGCTCGCGACTCAAATCTCCGACCCGTGGCAAGAGTACTCCACCCTCGCACGGCACCGACGGTCTGGGTGAGCGGAGTCGCGATGGACGACGACAACTTCACGAAATTAGCATCGCGGCAACTTCTCACGATCACAACTGCGGGGAGACATCACGTCGCGATTTAGAGAATCGACGCCGCGTCGATTCGCCCATTAAACACCGACTCGGTCTGTTTGAGTGCACGCGATGCCAGCTAAGTGGTCACCCCGTTGGGTTCCATCTCCCCCTATGTTTGTTTGTTTGTTACTCAGAGGAGTTCCACACAACAGTGGTTAGCGCACTGTGTGAGTGGGGAGTGGTGGTGCAGTGGTTAGCGCACTGTGTGAGTGGGGAGTGGTGGTGCAGTGGTTAGCGCACTGTGTGAGTGGGGAGTGGTGGTGCAGTGGTTAGCGCACTGTGTGTGAGTGGGGAGTGGTGGTGCAGTGGTTAGCGCACTGTGTGAGTGGGGAGTGGTGGTGCAGTGGTTAGCGCACTGTGTGAGTGGGGAGTGGTGGTGCAGTGGTTAGCGCACTGTGTGAGTGGGGAGTGGTGGTGCAGTGGTTAGCGCACTGTGTGTGAGTGAGTGGGGAGTGGTGGTGCAGTGGTTAGCGCACTGTGTGTGTGTGAGTGGGGAGTGGTGGTGCAGTGGTTAGCGCACTGTGTGTGAGTGGGGAGTGGTGGTGCAGTGGTTAGGGCACTGTGTGTGAGTGGGGAGTGGTGGTGCAGTGGTTAGGGCACTGTGTGTGAGTGGGGAGTGGTGGTGCAGTGGTTAGCGCACTGTGTGTGAGTGGGGAGTGGTGGTGCAGTGGTTAGCGCACTGTGTGAGTGGGGAGTGGTGGTGCAGTGGTTAGCGCACTGTGTGTGAGTGGGGAGTGGTGGTGCAGTGGTTAGCGCACTGTGTGAGTGGGGAGTGGTGGTGCAGTGGTTAGCGCACTGTGTGAGTGGGGAGTGGTGGTGCAGTGGTTAGCGCACTGTGTGAGTGGGGAGTGGTGGTGCAGTGGTTAGCGCACTGTGTGAGTGGGGAGTGGTGGTGCAGTGGTTAGCGCACTGTGTGTGAGTGGGGAGTGGTGGTGCAGTGGTTAGCGCACTGTGTGTGTGTGAGTGGGGAGTGGTGGTGCAGTGGTTAGCGCACTGTGTGAGTGGGGAGTGGTGGTGCAGTGGTTAGCGCACTGTGTGTGTGTGAGTGGGGAGTGGTGGTGCAGTGGTTAGCGCACTGTGTGTGTGAGTGGGGAGTGGTGGTGCAGTGGTTAGCGCACTGTGTGTGAGTGGGGAGTGGTGGTGCAGTGGTTAGGGCACTGTGTGTGAGTGGGGAGTGGTGGTGCAGTGGTTAGCGCACTGTGTGTGTGTGTGTGGGAGTGGTGGTGCAGTGGATTAGCGCACTGTGTGTGTGTGAGTGGGGAGTGGTGGTGCAGTGGTTAGCGCACTGGTGTGTGAGTGGGGAGTGGTGGTGCAGGGTTTAGCGCACTGTGTGTGAGTGGGGAGTGGTTGGTGCAAGTGGTTAGGGCACTGTGTGTGAGTGGGGAGTGGTGGTGCAGTGGTTAGCGCACTGTGTGTGTGTGTGTGGGGAGTGGTGGTGCAGTGGATAGCGCACGTGTGTGTGTGAGTGGGGAGTGGTGGTGCAGTGGTAGCGCACTGTGTGTGTGTGAGTGGGGAGTGGTGGTGCAGTGGTTTAGCGCACTGTGTGTGAGTGGGGAGTGGTGGTGCAGTGGTTAGCGCACTGTGTGATGTGGGGAGTGGTGGTGCAGTGGTTAGCGCACTGTGTGAGTGGGGAGGTGGTGGTGCAGTGGTTAGCGCACTGTGTGTGAGTGGGGAGTGGTGGTGCAGTGGTTAGCGCACTGTGTGAGTGGGGAGTGGTGTGCAGTGGTTAGCGCACTGTGTGTGAGTGGGGAGTGGTGGTGCAGTGGTTAGCGCACTGTGTGTGAGTGGGGAGTGGTGGTGCAGTGGTTAGGGCACTGTGTGTGAGTGGGGAGTGGTGGTGCAGTGGTTAGCGCACTGTGTGTGAGTGGGGAGTGGTGGTGCAGTGGTTAGGGCACTGTGTGTGAGTGGGGAGTGGTGGTGCAGTGGTTAGCGCACTGTGTGAGTGGGGAGTGGTGGTGCAGTGGTTAGCGCAACTGTGTGAGTGGGGAGTGGTGGTGCAGTGGTTAGCGCACTGTGTGTGAGTGGGGAGTGGTGGTGCAGTGGTTAGCGCACTGTGTGTGAGTGGGGAGTGGTGGTGCAGTGGTTAGCGCACTGTTGTGAGTGGGGAGTGGTGGTGCAGTGGTTAGCGCACTGTGTGAGTGGGGAGTGGTGGTGCAGTGGTTAGCGCACTGTGTGTGAGTGGGGAGTGGTGGTGCAGTGGTTAGCGCACTGTGTGAGTGGGGAGTGGTGGTGCAGTGGTTAGCGCACTGTGTGTGAGTGGGGAGTGGTGGTGCAGTGGTTAGCGCACTGTGTGTGAGTGGGGAGTGGTGGTGCAGTGGTTGGCGCACTGTGTGTGTGAGTGGGGAGTGGTGGTGCAGTGGTTAGCGCACTGTGTGTGTGTGAGTGGGGAGTGGTGGTGCAGTGGTTAGCGCACTGTGTGAGTGGGGAGTGGTGGTGCAGTGGTTAGCGCACTGTGTGAGTGGGGAGTGGTGGTGCAGTGGTTAGCGCACTGTGTGTGTGAGTGGGGAGTGGTGGTGCAGTGGTTAGCGCACTGTGTGTGTGAGTGGGGAGTGGTGGTGCAGTGGTTAGCGCACTGTGTGTGAGTGGGGAGTGGTGGTGCAGTGGTTAGCGCACTGGTGTGTGAGTGGGGAGTGGTGGTGCAGTGGTTAGCGCACTGTGTGTGTGTGTGTGGGGAGTGGTGGTGCAGTGGATTAGCGCACTGTGTGTGTGTGAGTGGGGAGTGGTGGTGCAGTGGTTAGCGCACTGTGTGTGTGAGTGGGGAGTGGTGGTGCAGTGGTTAGCGCACTGTGTGTGAGTGGGGAGTGGTGGTGCAGTGGTTAGGGCACTGTGTGTGAGTGGGGAGTGGTGGTGCAGTGGTTAGCGCACTGTGTGTGTGTGTGTGGGGAGTGGTGGTGCAGTGGATAGCGCACTGTGTGTGTGTGAGTGGGGAGTGGTGGTGCAGTGGTTAGCGCACTGTGTGTGTGAGTGGGGAGTGGTGGTGCAGTGGTTAGCGCACTGTGTGTGAGTGGGGAGTGGTGGTGCAGTGGTTAGGGCACTGTGTGTGAGTGGGGAGTGGTGGTGCAGTGGTTAGCGCACTGTGTGTGTGTGTGTGGGGAGTGGTGGTGCAGTGGATAGCGCACTGTGTGTGTGTGAGTGGGGAGTGGTGGTGCAGTGGTTAGCGCACTGTGTGTGTGAGTGGGGAGTGGTGGTGCAGTGGTTAGCGCACTGTGTGAGTGGGGAGTGGTGGTGCAGTGGTTAGGGCACTGTGTGTGTGTGAGTGGTGGTGCAGTGGTTAGCGCACTGTGTGTGTGTGTGTGTGGGGAGTGGTGGTGCAGTGGATAGCGCCTTCCCCACTGAATGTTCGTTTGGAGTCTCGAGACCTCCTGGCAGACCTCTGCTGGGACCCCGGTGAAGTTGACCCCAAAGGGGATCGACCCCCAATTGTTGACCCTTCAATCATTGACTCCACCACCACCACCACCACCCACCCACCCACCACCACCATCATCCACCCACCCACCACCACCACCACGGCCAACTCAACTT